TGGGTCAGGACGTCTTGAGAGTCAGGGGAGTTCATGTTTTGGGGCGTCTAGAGCACGATCTGGAGGTCTGGAGTGTGAAGACATCTCTGGCCCTGAGGCCTCAGGTACGTTTCTGCCCCAGGTGCATCACACAGTGCTGTGGTGACTGGAAAGTCACATGCCTTTAAGAGAATTTCTTCCAACTGTGAAGCGCAGGCCACAGCTCCTGCTCTGCCCACCCTCAGGGCTGACGTGGGCATCACAGGAGATGATCACATGTACTGTCTTTGCGCTGTAAAGTCTCTCATACAGGCAAATGAAGAAAAGCCAACCTCCAGCCTCCCCTGCCCTGGAGCATCCATGTCCCCTCTCTGGTCACCCACTGTCAAGTGTGTAGCTTCTTCTCCCAGGCATTTAATGATGGAGGAATCATGGAGCATTGAAGAATCCACCGCTTTTTCTAAAGTTTTAAATCTGTTCAATGATCTTCGGCCTCATCATGCTAACCAGTCAGCCCTATTAAAGTGTTTAGACTGCAGTGCAGAGAACTGGAGGCTGAAGGGTTGCAGGACATTCCCCAGTTCTTGTGGCTCTAAGTGGGACTGAGCCCAGGCCCTCAGGCCCCAGCCCCAATGCTCAGTCACTCTGCTCAGCTGACTTTCTGGACCTTCCCATCATAAAGGCATTTTCCACACAACCTTTCTCTTAGGTGTTTCAAGTGCACGTGAAAACCCAAGATCTTCCGAAAGCCCAGCATTGGCTCAGAGGCTGCAGGGGAGTCAGTGCAGTGGGATCCACATTTTGAGCTCTGCATCAATTACGGTCTGTTTCCTCTGGTCTTCTGCCAATGAGATGTCAGCTGCTCTCTTAACTGTCAGTGCATTTCCCAGGATCTTAGCTGATGAATTTGAGGAGAAAAGCATTTTCCTCCTTCAAGAATCTATACAGCCCCAGACCAGCAGCAAGTCAAGAAGGGGCCCCCGACCAAGCACAGGTGCACCTGTAGACGGTGAGCTGACGGCACTGCGCATACTCAGCCCTTATGTTGATTCAAGAATAACGATTGCAGGTTTGTTCCAAAGTTGCATGTTTAAAATAAATCAATAAAAATGCTAAGCCATATTGCTATGCATGTGAGAAAATTTTAATTTACCATTCAATCAGCAGTATTTCAACTGCAGAAAGATACATTCACAGCTCAGCTTTGGTTCACATTTAATAGCGAAACACTTCTGAAGCTCCTGATCAGACATTAACTGATTGTTAAACATTTGCTGCAATAGATCGGCCCCCAAAATAGTGTTGCAAAATGACTCTTTAATTAATAGATGTTATTATTTGGATAACTTTTACACTAGCAAAAAAATAGAACAGATACTGAAGTTAGCACAGGCCCCTTCCTCCATTTCCCCCATAATTGACATATCAGAATGGTGCATTTGTCATGGTTAATCAACCAATATTTACACACTATTAAAATGTCTTAGCCAGCATTAAGGATTACTTTCTATTTTGCATTTTCATGTTTATTTTTTAATTTGCAATGTCTTGCTCCACCTTGCATGCACTCATTGTTCTGCTGCTGACAACCCCCTGTGCTTCACCTGGTATTCTTTCCGTCTCTTCCTTGGAAACAGCTAATTTTTTTTTTTTTTTTAAGACCAATCTCACTCTGTTATCCAGGCTGGAGTGCAGTGGCATGATCTCGGATCACTGCAACCTCCACCTCCCATGTTCAAGTGACTCTCGTGCATCAGCCTCTCGAGTGGCTGCGATTACAGGCACCCACCACCACACTTTTAGTAGAGATGGGGTTTCCCCATGTTGGTCAGGCTGGTCTCTGACTCCTGACCTTGAGTGATGTGCCCACCTCGGCCTCCCAAAGTGCTGGGATTACAGGCATGAGCCACCACACCCAGCTGGAAACAGCTGATTTGTTAAATTGTCTCTAGAGTTTGCCTTTTTACAAAATGACACCTAGCTTGAATCATAGAGTATGTAGCTTCTTCAATAGACATTAAAGATCATGCCATGTTGGTCCATGGTACCAGCACCTTGCTCTGAAACATCCCAGCCTCCAGAACTGTGAGAAAGGAAAAACTGCATTTATACCACCCAGCCCATGGTATTTGGGTTACCTTTTCTTTTCTGGGGACAGGGTCTCACTGTGCTGCCCAGTCTGGAGTGCAGTGGTGTGATCTGAGTTCATTGCAGCCTTGACCTTCTGGGCTCAAGTGACCCTCCCATCTCAGCTGGGACCACAGGCGCACACCACCATGCCAGGCAAATTTTCTTTATATTTTTGTAGAGATGGGGGTCGCACTATGTTGCCAAGGCAGGTCTTGATCTTCTGGCCTCAAGCAGTGTTGGGATTCACTCAGGGTGGCTGGCAAGATATTAAGGGAAATATCAGGGAAAGTTATAAGATATAGTCTCAAACATTTTGGAAGGCAAAAAGCTTTTCATCACTTGTCATAATGGAACAAGCTGAAGGCAGCCAGTTCTTTCCTTAGAGCATGAGGTCACGGGTAAAAATTAGGGGTAATAGAAGCTTCCCCGGTTGAGTCTGTTCACCCCACATTCCTTTGTCTCTAGCTCCCTTGTTTACTCACATGGTCTGAAAACTAACCTTTGAGCCAATGGCCATCTGGGGGAAGGTCAAAGGGAGATTACCCCTTAATGGTGTTTGCTCTGGGCCGTGGAACCAAACCTTTCAACTGTTAATTATCCACCAGGATGTTGACTTAGAACTTCTGTCATTAAATCTAAACTGAATAAATGCGAGGAGGGACAGCTATTGAAGGGTTGGGTAGCTCAATGGCCCGCTGAGAGCAGCTGACTTGTTCAGGATACTTTGTGTGTGGAGGGTATTTATTCATCTGTCACAGAGTCAGGGTTTGCAGGACAGGCCCTCACAGGTGGGGATCAATGTCTCAAAGCAATCCACCTGCCTCGGCCTCCCAAGGTGCTGGGGAAAGAGGCGGGAGCCTCCGGCCCAGCCAGCCTTGTTCTAGGAGCCTGCACTGACCCTGCACGACTCTTCCAGAAGACACTGGTTGGAGAGGGTAGTCGGGAGGGGCAGTACCAGGCTTTACGCTGTGTGAAAGGGGAAGTTTTGCCCAGCAGCAAATCCTCTCTGGATTAAGAGTTTTGTGATTGGCAGCCACAGTGAACTAGAGAGACGCATCCTCCAGGAAAATCCTGAGCCTCCTCCAAGGTGTCTGTGCTGGCTTCTGGGGCCTTTGACCACTGCTTTCCATCTGGGACTTTGTGTTCACAGTGGGGGCAAAAGATCCGAGAAACTCTGTGCAGCGTGACTGGTCCTCGTGGTCTCTTCTCTCCTGTAATTGTAGGTGGCCTCAGAAAAACAGCCTGGATTCTGTGATCACTGACTCACTGGTGAAAAATCCAGATGAGAAGAAAGGCGGGCTTTCCTGCTGCCTTCAGTCTGGAGATCTGATTCCAGCTTCCCGCTGGGCACAAGGCGGGGCGGTGGAAGGAGTGGTTTTCACAGGTGAAGAACCCCGGCCTCATTGTACAGTCCCTGGAAGACATATGTCCCTCTAGGGGGGTGGGTTTGTGTGCACGGGACTCTGGGGGGGTCTTCATGAGTGTCATGCGGTGTGACTGAGTGTGTGTGGGAGTGTGTGGGTGGGAGTGTGTCTCCTCAGGAGGCCCGTCTCACCTACACAGCACAGGTGCCACATCAACATTTTCTAGGGGAACCCCACCACCACTGTGTGCTTTCCACGCATTGACACGTTCACGGCTCACCACAGCCTTGCCCACGGGCTCACTTTCCAGCCCTGCGCCTCGGAAAATGAGGCACAGAGATTGACCCACGCTCCTGAGCTTTTCTGTGAAACAGATGCAGGTGAGTGAGGGGCGGGGCCCTGTGTGGAAGCTCAGGACCACTGGGTGGCATTCTTTCCTCAGCAGCGGGCTCCGGGTCACAGGGCAGGGGTGATCCAGCCCCATGCATATGCCTGGAAATACCTGGGCAGGCAGAGTTCCAAGACACCACCTACGGTTAAAAGGCGGCCCCAGTGCTCACATAGCCCAGGTCATCTGTGCATATGTCACAGATTTTCACCCAGCTGTTAGCCTAAGAAGTCCAAGTCATGGAAACAGAGTAGAAGGGAGGTGTCGGAGAGTGAAGAAAATGGAGAGCTGGTGAAGGGCACATTTCAGTTATGTGATGAGTACGTTCTGGAGACCTGGCACACAGCATGGCGACCGTAGTTGATAGTGACGAACTGCACACTCAGTATCTGCTGAGAAAGTGCACCTGGAATATTCTCACCACACACACAAATGGCAACCATGTGAAGGGATGGGAATGTTTATGAGTTTGATGACGGTCCTCATTTCACATTGTTTGCATATACCAAAACTTCACATTTTATACCTTAAATATATATATTTTAGAATTGTTCAATTCTGTCTCAATAAAGCCAGGAAAATAGCCTCAGGAATATTCTGTGAGCTACACATCCTGGAAGTGATGAATTAGAACCGGCAGGACCCCTGGTGATCAGTGGGGCCCATCAGCCTGGCTGAAGTGCCCCAGGATTGCAGAGTTAGAGCACCAGCTCCTGGCCCACACCTCCCCCTGTAAGGAGCCGCCCTTCCGGCCTGTGTGAGCAGGTCCAGGGAGATGTCAGGAAGATACTGGCAGTTTAGCGGCAGTTAAACATGGCAGGAGAGGTCAGGGGACTTTCTTGTCGCATCGCAGTGTAGAGTTGGGCACATGGGGACACTGAGCATTTCCTGATGATTTAGGTGGCCTCTCGCTCCACAGCTGAGGACTCTGAGCCTCATCCCAGTCCTGTCTCTCTTTTTCAAGCCTGTTCCACCCAGGAGGATGACCCAGCAGCAGCGGAGCCCATGCGGAAAACCCACCATGCCCATGCACAGAAGGGCTGCGTCCATCTCAAGCCAGTGCCCCGAGTCATCCACAGGCAACACCGCCAGTGCACTGCCAGCCAGCCCCTCAGTCCTCCTGGCCTCCCTGAGAGGCTGCTGGGGGAAGTCCCACCTGACAGCAAGGAAGGAGTGCCTGTCTTTGTCCAAAATAGTGGCGACGCTTTGTTGATTTATTTCATTCCAAATTGGCTCATGTATGAAAATCTGGCAATATACATAACATGTGATACTGCTTCCTGGCAAGACAGGGTCAGTCACGAATGGCCTCAGCTTATAAACAAACCGGGAGAGGGCCTGCCCTCAGCACCTGTACTTCCTTCTTCTGGGACTAAGAATTTCCCAACTGCCAGCCAAGATAGACTCGGGAGATCCACCCTCCAGGGAAAGCTCCTGCATGTCCCACGGGTGTCCTCACCCTCCCTGCGGGGCTTTGACTGGACTACAGTTTCCCCTCTGTTTCTCTAAAGCAACATGTTCTGTAATTACGATACAGACTTGCTGGGAAGGGAAGAGTGTGGTCCCTTTAAATGATATGAAACAGGGGAAGGGAGGGCAAGCACTCCGGCCTTCATGCCCAAATGTTGCATTTCCCAAGACCGCCCTGGCCCACCTCCTTGAGAGAAGCATATCAGTGGAGCAACACAGAGCTGGCTGGACATTGAGAGGGATGCCCTGTCAGGCGCCAGCACACGGGCAGGCCATGGGCAGAAGCAGAATGACGTGAAGTTTGGCCAGAGTGGTCGAAGAAGAGTCCCACCACTGGGGAAGGGTTGGGCCGCCAATGTCCCACCTCTAGGGGAAAGCCATCTCCCTGCTGGCTTCCCGATCTGCTGAGAGCTTCTTCCACTCAATAAAACTTTGCACTCATTCTCCAAGCCTGTGTGTGATCCGATTTTTCCCTACACCAAGGCAAG